AGCGTAGAATATATGGATAGTTGTCAGAAGACAAGGTTAAGGCTGCTGAAACAGACGGTCATCGGTATCGTTTAATTAAGCATGCTGGTTGTTCCACCTTCACAGGTTGTGTTAGCAAATACATGTATGAAGGACCTTGCCACCTCATCCTATTTGTCTTTCCCTGTATCTGTTGTATTGCCATAATCTCCACTATCTCTTTCTCTTAAAAATAGAATTATTTTTGCACTGTTCTTCTCATTTCCTCTCTCCATCTTGTCGTTTAAACTTATCTTCAGACCAATTGAGGCTCATTCAGTTATGACGCAGCAAAAACCGCTGCGTTAAACATAATGTTGACCTCAGGTGTCATACGCTTCACAGTTCCGTATCTTACAACACAGAGCTTGATGAATTTGCACAAGTCCTTTGTTGCGTGCAGTCACCATTTATTTGACCTTGACCTACCTTGACCTACCTTGACCTACCTTGACCTAAGCCTTCCGCACCATCTGGGAGATGTGTGATGGCTTCTGCTTCATGACATCAAGCCAGATCTTCCTATCTTGTGACGTTCTGGTCGCTTCTGTGAGGCATCCCAGACATCTATTAGCACAATCAGCCTTTACACAATCAAGCCATTTCTTGGCTGGTCTGCCCTGGGGTCTATCACCATGAATATTTGAAGTTAGGAGTATCTTTGGGTATCGTGATGGTCTCATCCTGTTGATGTGGCCAAAGAATCGCAGTCGCAGTGTTTTGGGGTGTCAGATTTGTAAGCATTAGATTATACAGAAGGCATTTTATATTTTTATACTTTTTGTTTTGTTTGACAATTACAATAATTATAATTTGCATTACTTAACTGAACGTGTCTCAAAGATACAGAGCAAGCAATGATCCCTGATCAAATGAATTTATGTGAGGCACATCAACATGTTTGGTCATACCGTCATAGACCCCGTTCTCAATCACTTCGTTGGAGCGCTCTAACTAAGACCCGTTCCTCAGGAGCGGTTCTTAGGTGAGTGAGAACGGTCAAAGTGGTCCAGGAAGTGGACTTCTGGACCACTCCAGAAGACCACCTTCCGAGGTGGTCTTGAGGAGTGGGTCTTATTAAGAGTGGTTTGGAGCGCTCTAACGTGCAATGTGAACGGAAAGCGTACTTTGAACGGAAGTGAGCTAGTGACCTTCGGTGCGAAACATGTAGTACGGTACATACGGTTTGTATTCCACGCGAAAAATTGATCTGCTGACCTGAGCTGCCATAGCAACAAGACCACTTTGACTCGTGGAGCGGTTTGAGCCATTAAAAACTGCTCGGAGTGTGTACGCTCGCAAACCGTTCCTCAAGACCCGTTCCTCTGGAGCGGTCTAACTAAGACCACTTTCAAAGTGAGTGAGAACGGGGTCTAAGTCAAGATAATCAACTCAAATGCATAACAAAAAGACCCATCATTCACTGTATATTCGAGTAAGGTAGTATTTGATTCGGGAGAAAACTGCCAGTCGATGCAATGGATTATCATAGTCATTGATTGTCCCTATTCAAATGACACTTTCATCCTCTTTATAGCAAAATACTAGGTTTTTAACAATTGCTGATTCCTTTAAACATGTCATTTGCATAATCTTATGACATAGTTTTCAACTCCATATGAAGTAACGGTGATACTTCTTATGTTTGAGAGATATTTCAATTTCCCATTTCTTATCCCGTCCTTTTGTCATGCCAGAGTTTGACCTGTCGATTCCCATGTTCCTCTCTGATTAATGTTATGACGCAAGAGCGTTAAAATTTCATGTAGCTCTAGGCGTCCCCATTGGAGTGTATCTTCTTCTCAGCTTCTCCATCGCATCAAAAGGCCTGTCTTCATCAGCTCGAGATTGCAAAATAGCCCGCTATTTCTGGTTTGGGAAATAATCCCAAAGTTACAAATCACGTCATCATCATCATCAGCTCGAGACTTGACCTATCAACTTAAAACTGGAGCTCGAGGAATTAGCTTGAGATGTTTTGCTCAGCGTTCGCACATAGTGCGAGTCTTTGGGCTGGTGAAAACTAGCCCAAGATATCTTGGGATGATTGTCTCAACCAAATATCCTGCTAATTGCAACTTCGGGCTGATAAGGACGCAAATTAACTGGATAAATTGCGATCGAGATAGTTCAAATATTGGGATGTTTGGCAATCTCGAGCTGATGAAAACAGGCCTCATGCATCGCATCAAAAATTGAGCACAACGTATCCTCTTTCCTTCGCCACACCAACAAGAGACGAAGGAAAGAAGGGCAGATCTCCTCACCTACCAAGCATTTTGTCTCCTTTTATTTCACAGTCCCATGAGGGACGGCTTCATTCATTTATAGCCCTCTTTGTTAAAAAATGCATGAATTGTCTCATCAAAAATAGAAACCCAATTATTTTTATAGCCCCACCGACATCGCGGTTCTTGGCGGAGCGCAATCATGCACTCCTTCGTGAAGACATCGTGCAGTTGCTTTTTGCTTGGATGGCAGCCTGAAACGAATTTCGTGCTACTTTGTTGTTTGGGAAATAGTCTAGGCTCTTCTTTAAAGTGACTCACTAACATTGTTGGAGGTTTATGAAAAAACTGAGTAATTTGTGTATGAAATGTTACTTATCATATTAATTCTACTGTACGAACCCTCTAAAATGCAAAATATCCTTTATAAATTTTTAAACCACAAAGATATTCATGGTTTTCTTTGAAGGAGTCACTGATCACACTCTCTAACAGTGATTAACAGTAAATTCTCCAAACCATTTTTGAATTTTCCCAACCGTTTTTCCATGAAAATATGACATAAAATTGGCTTTAATTTTTTTTGTTTACACTTTGAGGTCTGGAATGGTATATAGAGCAAATTAATTGCTTTGTGACGATTTACATTCACCTAAAAAGTGTAATTATTAATAATATAGTTGGGAGAATTAAGGAATCGATCAGATCAGCTTTCCCAATTGTTATCGTTAATGATGGTCCGTTTTCATTCAAACTTTCAGATTATCTTTAATTGCACATCTAGCATTGCAGTCACTACCTTTCCCTCATCTGAACAATGTTACAAAGTCCTTTAATGTTGGTCGATTGCATTTATGCAATTACGCATGTATAATATAAGAAGACAAGAGAAGTGTTTAGAAGTGTCAGATATTACTCCTGTAATTTGGCACCCCTTGGATTGATATGGCTCTGGGGAGGGGGAGGGGGGGGGGAGGGGGGGGCGGAGGATATTGAATGTGCTTCAACACTAGTGAATAAGTGGCACAGCTACATTTACTTCATGTATTTATCATTTGTGTGTGTCATTTTTGTACCTCTCAGCTATAGTTTGATCCAGTCCCCCTTTACCCTATTTCACTGTAGGAGTGTAAGGTGGGAATAATTTACTCCTACATCCACATAAACATGTAAAATAACAATACATCAGTAAACTAGTTTTGTAATTCAAGTAAAAAAGTAATGCCTGTTGTGCATGATACATGCTCAGTTTGTAGCTGTTCTTTCCAAGAGTGTGCATTTTTATTTTCAGCCATCTTTCCTCCGATACAGCCCCTGTCAACATGATGCATGGCCCAGGTACTGAATTTGGACAAGACCCTTATAGAAATGTCTCGCCATGAAAATAAGTGTATTGCTACGAGATTATCAAAAGTGTATCGCTTTTAGGATAGGGAGTTGACTTGCATTTTCCATCCATATATACATGTATGTAAACTGGGCTGTGTATACTATAATCCAAAATGAAGGGTCAATTGTTTGAAATTCCAACAGTGTACAGTGCACTGGTTGAGCGCAATGATCATGATTCAGTGCATTGGATAGCTGCTGAACATTTATTAGTAGTGCTGTTTCCTCCCCTATGGCGGGTAATTTCATTCCCTAATTTAATCAATTTGTACGGGAAACATGATCATTCTTCATCTAGATTGGTTCTGAGAAGCATTCCTAGACAGAGTTCCTTACTTAGGCCTCTCCTGAACAGCCATTTCCATTTTAGATTCTACTGCAGCCAATATTCAGTCCCTTTACTAGTGCTATTGAGACTGTGTTTCATGATGAATTTGTGGCTAAATCTCGTCCAATTGAATCTATTCTCATTAGTTTCTTCATTCAGATTTTGTTTTGTCTAGACGTATTCTCACCCTTCTCTCCTCTCTCTTACACGGCCTACTTTTCATCTTCGTTTTATTGCCTCTTTACCGTTCCTCTCTTGTGTTCTAATTTGCTTCTTTCCTTTTTTGCTATCTGTTTTATTGTACGTACATTTACATGTACATCATTCTGTTCTCCCCATTTGCTTTTCTCCTTTCCTTCCGTTATTATCTTGAAAAGATTCTCTCTTTCAAGAGATCCATTTCCAGCCGTTGATTGATTCACAATTATTTTTGTCTGCTGATGAATTTCCGGCTTTGATATGATCCTGTTTTTTTGTGTTTCTTGAAATGAAAGGGATTCCACTCATTTTAACAAAGTGAAAGTTTATTTGATTATGTGTAAGAACAGCTGTTTAATGCCATATAATTCATGTTGCCATAGCAACAAAGCAATTGCAGAGCTCTGTAAATTAATTATAGTGTTTTATCTTTCTCTTCTTTTTTTATTTTTATTGTATTACCCTTTCTTTTGAAGAGATTTAAAAAAAAAAAAAAAAAATTGTACTATAGTTATAAAATGCATCTCCCTACTTCGCATTTAACTTACATGTATGAAGAAAATTTCAAGTGTTTATCAATACATCTTTATCTGTCCTTTATTCAATAATGACATTTAAAAATATCCTATTACCTATGCTTAACTTGGTTTTTAAATACTCCCTGGGGGCTGAAGGAAACTGAAAGAAACTGAAGGAAACATTTCCTACTGACAATTTCTTTAATATTTATTGAGCACCTTTATTTTCAAATGCACATTGTTTGCTGGTGCTGGGATCATTATATTAATCAATTTCTTTTCTCTTTCTCCCTCTTTCTTTCTTCTTTGTTTTTTATCCAGATTATTGTCCCTTTGGCTAAATGGAAAGAGAGCAAGCCAGGAGCTCCTTCAGAGGTATATTGTAAGTATGGAGCCACCTGAAGGAGAATAACTTTGACACGATTGTTCGCTCAACGTGTACCTGAGAAACAAGGGACGCTACCAATGGATATTGCCTACAGTAGGTATGAACTACAAGCATAATGACTTGAGGAGACAGCGTGATATCTAGTGGCGGCCAAAGGGAGGATAGTCGTGGATCGGACGTGGGGAATATTGAATTCGAGAAAGGATGATATCATTATAGATTTTGTTGCACGTACCGAGAGGCACCCCAAATGTTATATTCCCCTTCATACACGGACCATATTATTGAACTTAATTCCTTAGGGTGTATGAAACGTACAGTACATACTAAGCAATCAATTCCACATTCTGTAAAACATTATTATTAGTGGCAGCAGTAATTGTAAACCTAGGTGTAACGGTGTGGTGTGTAATGTAATTTCAAGGTTATTTTTTTTATTTCGGAAGGACCAAAGGGCTATAGAATATTGATTAGATCATACAATATAAATGATATCTAAAGATACTTTCGTATACTATCCTCAGATAGTATAACCCATGGAAACATAGTTTGGCAATGATGACATTGTTACTGGAAATTCATATTTATTTGAAAACCAATGAAATTACATGTATCTAGTCCCCAATGTGTAACTTGAGCTAAATTTAGATGCGTGTGGAAGGAAACTGTTCAGCTCTTCAAGAAGTCCAGTTCTTGTCTCAAGAAGTTGAAAGTTGAAAGTTGAAAGTCATACAACCCTTGTGCCACCTGCTCTGTTGGCCAGTGCGTGCCATGAGCGTAAGAGCTTTGGATCAGCCCCTGGGCTTAAGGGGTTCAGCCAGCTTGACCCAATCTGTGCGTGGAGGCTCTTCTGTTGGATTCGTGCCATTGAAGGTGTCCATGAGATTTGAGCCATCGTAAATGGAGTCCTCAGAACGACTCGAAATTAAACCCTGAATTTTTCTTCGTAGTGACCTTTGGTGAATGCAAAGAGAGAGACGGCATATGTTATCCTTTTGGAGTTCACGCTGTAGCAAAGCATGAGTTAACACTCTTCTGGCTCCAGATGATATAGTGGTATGAACCTACGATTCTGAGTGGTCAACGATTGGGGTTTCTTGAACCGTCTCCCATCGTGTTTTCCATCATTGACGGCCATTGACCTATATGCTATTTGTAATTAATATGAAATATATATGTCAGTCAGTTCACATATTTGTGCTCAATGAATTATGAAAGTACATGTGCTGCACTTACTGTAGTTGCCTGCACAAGGTAAACCTGACGTGTCTGTTATGAATACTCATTTGTGATTGAAGCAATTGGTTATTTGATAATGCAGGCTTTATTTTTTCTTTAGATATCTGTACGAAGGAGAAGCCGTTGATGATAATGATAAAGCCATCATCAGCTGACTCTCCTAAAAGCCAGAAAGGCATATGATTTGAGTGAATGCCCTTTTTGCGGTCAGTAGATCAAGAAGGGTTTTTCTGGGTATGTGATTTAGAGTCATGAAAAATAACCTCAAAAATTAATTACCTCATGCTGACGTCCATACATACTTGTTTTTACTGTACCGGTATTTAACCATCAACTAATAATGTTTTCCCATTGTCAACATACATGTAGTAGACCTTCGTTTTAGAACATGGTGAGGTGTAAGACTGCAGCAACATTCGATGCTGACATGTATTTGACATGTGTATGTTCATTTTGTGGGGTACCGGTCCCTTTTCAACCATGTACCTATTACAATACGTCATCCTCATTGCTTTGCTGAAGTAGCTTGTATTTGAAATGTATCTGGCAAATTACATCTGTACATCACCTAGTTTTATGCTATCCAACTGTTATTTATAACCATATATGATATGATAAAGAGGTTGAAACACGATGTATTCAGTATTTACTTTGCTTTAAGAATTGTCCATCACTTAAGGCAGACATCAATGGAAGGCTAGTATTTTCGTAAAGAATAATACTGAACCACTGCATATATACGTGGATGTACAGTAAACAAGGAATCTTGGTTTTTGGTGATGTATCTCTGGGTACTTAAATTTGTAAACATCGAAAGAAGACCATGTAAGTTTGGGAGTAGTGGCATGGTCCATGCTGCTGTGTGATGAAAGTGAGGGACTTCGACGTGAATAGAGTTTTAGAGTGCAGGTTTATGAGCTTCATTACTGCTCAGAATGAATATAAATTTCCCTTAGTGGAGATGAAAGCTGATTGTTACAAACTTACAATAGGCCTGTCTTCATCATCTCGAGAGTGCCAAATAACCCGCTATTTCTGATTTAGGAAATAATCTTGAAGTTACAAATCGTGTCTTCATTAGCTCGAGATTAGAACTTGAAACTTGACCTTGAGAAATTAGCTCGAGATATTTTGCTCAGCGTTGGCGCATAGAGCGAGTCTTCGGTCTGGTGAAGACGCATAGGACAAATAGCTGGATATTTTGTAAACTATTCCAAGATATCTTGGGATGATAATCCCAACCAAATATCCCGCTAATTGCTACTTCGGTCTGATGAAGACACAAATTAACTGGATAGTTTGCGATCGGGATAGTTCAAATAGCTGGATGTTTGGCAATCTCGAGCTGATGAAGACATACCTAATGAGACACTCGGCCTCAGCGGTAGGTGCGATTACCAAAGACCACACTCGTCGGCCTGGTTTAAATCTCTTTGATGCGGGGACTGCATGGGGTGGAGGAAGTAGTGCAAGAATGAAAAGAGCTGTGCATGTCACAGGGGGTAGAAACATCAAAGGTCTGTTTGCGTCCGGTAGATTCAGTATTGGCTTAACCATCATCATTCTGCATTGGCCTAATCATCATTCTCCATAACAAATGCAGTTCTTTGGTACCCATGCTTCTCTGAAAATAGACAGATTTAAAAGCAATCTTTTTTTATTTGCATGAGGAAAGGGTTGAATCACATACAAGAAATCAAATGTGTTTTGGTGTGTTGAAAACACATGATCTCATACTGCATGGCCCCAGTTTTAATTTACAAAGGAACAGTGGTTAATGATGGAGTATTCTATCAATCTTTGCTTTATTTTGTGAGAAATCTTTAGAAATTCAACTGAAATATTCTCATGAAATCCTCCTCACTCCATCTTCCGAAAGGTAACTCTCTTGTGGATAATTTTCTTGCGCAATGGGCATGGTTAACCCATTTACCACTGAATTTGGTCATTCCCATAGGTTTAGTACAGGAACCACCAGGTTCCCATAGGCAAAGGGTTAATTGAGAGTGTGAATGAGGCTGAGACATGGGTGGCTGTGGAGAAAGCCTGAGAGGAAGTATTGAATAGAAATTCAAGATGATATGATGTTTGTCTTGGTCACACCATAGGAATGAGTTGTCACAGAGGAAGGGAGACCCAGCATTTAATAAGCCATTTTCGTAATGTAACCAAGTTTAATGCATACATCCTTGTCAAGTGCCTCAACATGAATGATGTCATTCACCTGTCATAAATAATTTATTTCAATAGTCAGAATTCAAATTGCATCTAGTTGATAGGTAGGGGAAACCATGATGTTTGTCCGTCCTAGCAAGAATTAATGTAAGCAATTTGCATTCTGCCTATTGATATATTTTTATTCAAAATAGTTGAATGAAATAAAAAAAAAATTGAGGCACTTCTCAAAGAAGTATGCGTTAAATTTGGTTACATTACGAAAATGGCCAATTAATAAGAATGTTTCCTGAAGTGAAGAGCTTCATGGAAAGAATTCAGCATGCAACTTCACATTGTATTATTGAAGTATGTGTAAAAGGCAGCAAATTAATGTAATGATCACTACCCCGCTAACTGCTAGGCAAATATAGGTACTTCATCATAAGAAAAAGAAATATGCAGTGCTTTTGCAGATGTGCATCAATATGATAAACTCCTGCATACGTTGTATTAACCACAATTGCAGAAAGATTTCTTGACAACTTTTGGAATAGAACTCAAGAATATGAAGAAGACTCAAAGTAAACGTCAAGCAAAAGTGAAAGATGGAAAAGGGCATGATTGATTGCGAGATATTTGGTTGTAGTTTTCAATTTTGAAAACTTGAAATGAGTAAGACGGATGTCCTGCTTCATCCACTCTTCTGTCAGAGTAATTTGAAAGACTCAAAATAGAAAGATTTAGAGATGGATGTGTGAGGATGCTGGTATCTCTTGGGGGTTTTGCTGAGCCACTAGTTCAGAAGACTTGGCATATAAGATTGGGAGATATGCCGAAAGAATATATTGTCTGTAGGTAAGTCTTCATCAGCTCAAGATTGCCAAATAGCCCGCTATTTCTGATTTGGGAAATATAATTCAGACCCAGCCAGCCATCCTTCGGAATCCCGAAGTTACAAATTATGTCTTTATCAGCTCCAGAATCGACCCTCGAAACTTGAAAATCGAGCTTGCTCAGCGTTCGCGCGTAGTGCAAGTCTTGGGCTGGTGAAGAAGCACCAGACAAATATCAGGAAATTTTGCAAACTAGCCCAAGATATCTTGGGATGATTATCTCGACCAAATATCCCGCTAGTTGCAATCTCGAGCTGATGAAGACAGGCCTTTTTTGTAGCCAGGCCTTTTTTGTAGCCAGAAGGGTGTTCACTCATTTACTTTAATAGAGAGTTAACGCCCTTCTGGCTCTCAACAGATTATATCTGGGTTTGCTGACGCAGAATGATATGCAGTTCATTAGATTTGACATTGTGAAAATGTCGAGAGATCGGAAGAGAGAAATCTCGGTGGGTTTTGCAGAGTAATTTGCACCTTGATGAATTTGGCATTGGAAGATTAAATGAAAGGAAGGAGAAAATCCTGGGCTTGTGCAGTGTACTTTACAGCAGGACTGGAATAAGTTGTAAGCTATGAAGAAAAATATATGTGGCTTTGCTCTTGCTGTTGTGGAATGATTTGCGATTGAGATGTCTTGATAGTGGAAGATTGAAAGATCAGAAGATAGAGATCTCAGTGGGTTTCGCAGAGTAATTTACACCATCTTACAAAGAGTTACGATTGATCCAAATCAATTGCAAGTCCTCCAATCAGCCGCAAGTTTGCAGTCTCCCATCTGTTATGTACATAGTTGCGATTGATATCAATCGCAAATCAGTTGCCATTGATATCAACTCTTCGTAAGACGGGGCCCTGGAAAATCTTTAAGATTCAACAAAGATTGATGGATGGTGAGAAGGACTCGAGGAGCTCGTGGGGCTTGGGGAATCATTTGGCAGAGTAATTCACAATTTTTCAGACTTCAAATTCTCACATCACATGGACTGCAAAATGTTTCATGTCGCTGTCCATACAGGGATCTTCCATCACATCAGAGGAAAACGTGATTAAGATTAAACATCAGTGAAGCAGGTTTTAAAATGCCATTAAAGGGATCCGGTAACTTTGTCTCAGATTCTGAAAACATATTCTGGATTTAGCTCATGATGCAATGATAATTATAAAACTTTAGGTCAGTCAGGAACCCCATGACTTTTACAAGCCGATCGCCTGTCTGATTATCAAGATATTTATGATTGGAATTACAAATTTTGAAAAACGTTCGCCTGACGGTTTTCATAACACTACAGTCTATTGGGGAAAACGAGTATGGTAAAACCGGTCACTCCAAGATTTTTACTTTTTTGAGGCACTTCTTGATCATTTTGAAGCGCAATTTTTTTAGAGCTTCAATATTACATCATATCACAGACACTGATAACACGTAGGGCCGTGTATCTCAGATTTAACACTGTTAAATGATCCCTTTAATATTTCTGTAGAACTCAAGCCATTGATGAATGTACTACAGCAATAGCTCCAGAGATATTGTCACATGTGCAGTTGATTAAGGGGAGCATTATTATGAACACGCCACTGAGATTTGTACATGAACTTTCATCATGTTCAGCATGCAATGCAAACTGAATACTGAAAATCATATTCACTGTGATGGCATGACTGAAATGGCTGCTATTGCAATGGGTTTTTTCTTTCTTTCTTAGTTCATTACATATAAACCAAGGCATATGTACTTACCGATCTTGTATTTGTAAAAAGATGTATTCATTGTATTAGTAGAGAAACAGAATGTTTCAAAAATTTCAATAAGTGCTGTATTCATTATGCAATTTTAGTTATTTGATGTGTTCATTTGCCAAAATATCAAATCTTAAAAAGAGCACAAAAACACTTGAGGGTAATAGAGCTTTATTTTATATGCCAGATAATTTGTACATTGTACAAGACTATTTCTGAACATAAGAAGAGTTGGAGTGGTCGATGTAGAACAATATAATGCTTCCATATTATTTCTGCATGTATGTAGTTTTGGTTTTTGTATATAATTCTGATCTGAGTATAATACTAAGACCTGGCTGTCCGTTTGTGAACAAACATTGATGACTTTATTGTATTCAAGCAATATGGCACTCCTGCATATAAGGAATTGATTTTGAGAGACAAAGGGTATGTGATTTGTGAAACATCTATTCATTTTCTCCCGTCTTCCCTCGCCCTCTCTCTCTATCTCTCGCTCCCCTATTTTCATTCCATTTTTCTGCTTCCATCAATTACTGTGATTGCTTTGTACCCCTCTCCCCCACCCCTCTCTCTCTCTCTCTCTCTCTCTGATACTCTCTCTGTCTGTCTCATCTCTGAGCACACCTGTTTCAATGGTTATGAACTGATATCGGATGTCGCCTATGACATATGGTGGTGACAATTGACAGCAATGCTATGTGACAGGTTGCCTAAACAATGAATATTCACCTCCCGCCCAAAGTATCCTTGATGGATGCCTCATCCTATCTCGGGAGCACGCACAGAGGCAGCGTAGGCATCGCTTTGAGTGGATTTGATTCTCATGGCCATTTCAATTCAAGCTACATGTATATTCAATATTCCAAAGATGGTGTGCGAGATTGTCTAAATGTGCTGGTGATGGTATACACTTGTAGTACATCAAGAGAGAGTGCTGGAGGGAGAAGCAAAACATAATATACTGTAAAGGTGAC